TTTGTAGCAACATGGATGGAACTGGAGCATGGTGTCATGGTGAGCGAAATAAGTCAGGCAGAGAAGGACAAATACCATATGTTTGCACATATAGGTGGATTAGGAGGAAGTTAACGGAGCACGAAGTGGGAGAAGAAGGGGAAAAATAGTTGGGGAGAGGGAGGAAGACAAACCATGAGAGACTCTTGAATGCTAAGAACAAACTGAGGGCTGAGGGGGGTGGGGGAAACGGGAAGGGGGGTGATGGGCATGGAGGAGGGCACGTGTTGGGATGAGCACTGGGTGTTCTATGTAAACCAACTTAGCAATACGCTATTTAAGGGAAAAAAAATGCGAGTTCTGATTCAGCAGGGCTGAGATGGGGCCTGGGATTCTGCATTTCTAAGAAGCTCCTGATGGAAGCCCAAGCTGCTGATCAGAAACTTTTATTTTGAGTAACAGAGATAAAGCCTAGGTTGCCTGAAAAGGCCAGGCAGGTATCATGGTTGTGAAGCTGATTTGGTGGGGTCTATAGTGAATTACAGAGCGCATACCCTAAATAAAGTGGGCAGCTGCTTCTGGAGCTCAGGCTACATGATACAGGTTCAGAGGTTCTAATTTCTCAAGAAAGTCTGGAAATCAGGTTTTACATGAGATCTTACAATTTTAAAATGTTAACCACTCTTTACAGGGTAATGGAAAACACTGTGAGCTATACGCAGTGCATCTTTGGGCAAAATATGACCTGCTGGCCTTCACTGTGCAATCTCTGATCTAGAGTTAAGGTGGTACCAACAGGAAAGCTGATATCAACCTGTTAGGAGGTTGCCCGGGCTTAGGATGGGGAGGGGACGAGTGGGAGATTTGCTTCTCATCATGACATCTTCTGTACTGTTTGGTCTGTTATCACATGGTCATAGCTTTTTTATTTTTTTACCTAAAAACAGGATTAAATTTCTAGTTGTTCCATATTTGCTTTGCCCATTTTAACTACAATTAAGTTCAAGCTTAATCAGGAATATATCATTTAATTATGGTGTTGCTCTTAGAGGAATCCATCAACCTACTTTCTAATGATCCTTCTATGATGTGATTTCTAGGAATACGACATGGTGAGAAGTAAAGATGACCTGACGTGTAGGCATAAAATTAATTTAATTGCATCAACAGCCTTCTCAAGGGTCTTATAATCAGCCAGTATTTCAGGAAACAAAGAATCTAGGATCGCAAGTCTGGACGGTCACAGAGACTAGGTTGTGTTGTTCAACATACTACCGGTACTTGGACCTAGTATTTCTTTCACTATATTGTTCTATGTTCCTGACTTCTCCTTTAAGATCATATAAGGTGTAGAATACCAGGTCCAGGTCTTAACCTTTTTTTAATGTTTGTTTATTTTTGAGAGTGTAGAGGGGCAGAGAGAGAAGGGGACAGAGGATCTGAAGCAGGCTTTGTGCCGGCAGCAGAGAGGTCAGAGGTTGGGCTCGAACTCACTAACTATGAGATCATGACCTGAGCCGAAGTCAGATGCTTAACCAACTGAGCCACACAGGCACCCTAAGGTCTTGAAATATTTTTGATTAACAATCACAATGATAATAGTGAAATAATAACAAATACGGTGCCTAACACTGTTTGTACACTTCCACTACACCAGGCATTATGCCCATTACTTGATGTTTATCATCTCATTTGGCCTAGGAAAACCAATTGATAGTTCCCTATAAATGACAAGTTACTAACAAAGGGAAGATAGCAATGTTACAGTGGAGAAACCTGACGGACATCACCTTAATCAAGTGATCAAAAGTAACAATATTGGAAAAATCTGACATCACATGCCTGCTGAGATAATGCACTGGGGACACAACATAATTTCAACAGTATCTTTACCCAAAATGCATAATCATAATATAATCAGGATAAAACAACAGACAAACATTTTGGAAATAAATGACCAGCACTTTTCAAATATGTCCATGTCATAAAACCCAAGACTATGAACTATTACAGATTAGAGCTTAACAAAGAATGACTACTAAATTCAATGTATAATCTTGTTTTGGGTTCTTAACTGGGAAAAATAGCTACCAAGTACAATATTCATAAAAATGACAAATTTGAATGTGTACTATAGAGTATAGTATTGTACCACTTTTAAATTTCTTGATTTAGATAAACGTACTGCAATTATATAAGACAATGTCCTTGTTCTTAGAAAATATATCGAAGTATTTAGGGATAAAAGGGCACAATATCTCCAGTCTTGCTCCCAAATGGTTCAGGAAAAAAATTCACACACACACACACACCCATACAGAAAGATAAAATAAATAAAGTAGATTGTGTAAACTATAAAGAATTGTAAGTTTGAATTAATAGCAAAACAAAATTTACAAAAAATGAGATAGATAACTATAATTACCCTATACTACAGATGAAGAAATTGAAGATCAAAAAGCTAAATCATTTATACAATTACTAAGAGCTAGAATCTGGATTAAACCCAGAGTTGTTGATTCCAAAGTCCGTGTTCTTAACTATTGAAGTATGATGGGGGTGTCTGGGTGGCTCAGTTGGTTAGGCGTCCAACTGCGGCTCAGGTCATGATCTTGTGGTTCATGAGTTCAATCCCCACATTGGGCTCTGTGCTGACAGTTCAAAATCTGGAGCCTTCTTCAGATTCTGTGTCTCCCTCTCTCTCTGCCCCTCCCCTGCTTACACTCCATCTATCTCTTTCTCTCAAAAATAAAAATAAACATAAAAAAACTATAGGGTATATTGTCCCAAATTAGCAATTTTGTTCTGTTTCGGGAATAGATCGTATATGTTTAAATCAGTGCTTTCTTTAAAGCAGTCATCTTGGAGAACTATCTGCTCATTCAGCTGATGCTCTTGCTGCCTTGAGTCCTCTCTTTGGAAATGCTATCTAAGATCAGTTTGCTAGTCATGTACTTTAGACTTCACCTTGATTTTTCACCTATATTCCCCATATCTCAATGTTACTCTCCAAATGACCACTTTGAAGGGAGTACATGAAGTATGTTATATGCTTTTGAAGTTGTCACATGACTTTATAGATATCTTTATTTGATCTTTTCCAGCCCTTTTAATACATCAGGAACAATAGTTGCTTTATGTTTTTTTTTTAATTAAAAATAATTTTTTTTTACATTTATTTATTTTTGAGAGACAGAGAGAGACAGAGTGTGAGCAGGGGAGGGGCAAAGAGAGAAGGATACACAAAATCTGAAGAAGGCTTCAGGCTCTGAGCCATCAGCACACGGCCTGACACAGGGCTCAAACCCACGAACAGGTGGCTCCAAGAACAATCGTTGCTTTAAAAGCTGATGTGGGGGCGCCTGGGTGGCTCAGTCGGTTAAACGTCCGACTTTGGCTCAGGTCATGTTTTCACGATTCATGAGTTCCAGCCACACATCGGGCTCTGTGCTGACAGTTCATCAGAGCCTGGAACCTGCTTCAGATTCTGTGTCTCCCTGTATCTCTGTCCCTTCCCTGCTCGCACCCTGTCTCTCTTCCTCTCAAAAATAAATAAATATTAGAAAACAATTTTTATTAAAGCTGATGTGGTTTGCAAATATTTTCTCCCATTCTGTAGGCTGCCTTTTAGTTTTGTTGCTTGTTTCCTTTGTTGTTCAGAAGCTTTATATCTTTGTTTTTTTAATGTTTATTTTTGAGAAAAAGAGAGAGAGAGAGATTTGATTTGAGTAGACATTTCTCCTAAGATGTGGAAATGGCCTATAAATACACGAAAAGAGGCTTAACATCACTAGTCATCAGGGAAATGTAAATCAAAACCACAGTGAGATACCACTTTACACCCACAATGAAGGTATTAATCAGAAAGATAGTAACAACTATGAGGAAAGCTATGGAGAAAGTGGAATCCTTGCGCACCACTGGTGGGAATGGAAAATGATGGAGCCCTTGTAAAAAACAGTCTGGCAGTTAATCAAATGGTTAAGCATGAAGTCACTACATAATCCAGCGATTCCACTACCAAGTATATACCCAAGAGAACTGGAAACATAAGCCCACCCCCAAGCCTGCACATGAATGTTTATAGCATCATTATTCATTACAGCCAAGAGGCAAAAGAACCCAAATATCTGTCAACTGATGAATGGATACACAAAATCTGATATGTCCATATCATGGAGTATTAATTGGCCACAAAAGAGAATGGAGTGCTGATGGATGCTACAACATGGATGAACCTTAGAAACAGTATATGCTATGTGAAGGAAGCCAGATATAAAAAGCCACACATTATATGATTGCATGTGATTATATGATTCCACTTAGGAATCCAGGATAGGCAATCCTATCCTTGTTCAGGATAGGCAAGTCTATAAAAACAGGGAAGAGATTAGTGGTTGCCAGAGGTGGAGAGGAGTGGGCATGATAGGGAATGATTGCTAGGAGACACGGGATTTCTCTTGGGGGTGACGAAAATGTTCTGTTGTTAGGTAGCGGTGCAAATGCACAACTCTGTCAGTATAGTAATAACAACCTGAAAGGGTGGATTTTATGGTATGTGGATTATATATCAATAGAGTGATTTTTAAGTAGGCTCCATGCTGAGCATGGGGCCTGAACATGGGGCCTGAACTCAAGACTCTGAGATCAAGACCTGAGCTGAGGTCAAGAGTCAGACACCCAACTGATTGAGCCACCCAAGTGTCCCTCAACAAAGCCCATTTTTTTCCAGAAAAGGAAGGTGCAAGTGGGTGAGTCTCAGAGAGAAGGGGACAGAGAGAGAGAGAGAGAGAGAGAGAGAGAGAAGCGGTTCTTACCTGAAGTGGGGCTCTTGCTCACCCAAAGCAGGGCTTGAACTCATAAACCATGCAGGATTATGACCTGAGCCTAAGTCAGATGTTTAACCAAATGAGCCACCCAGGTGCCCCAATAAAGCTATGCTTTTAAAAAAAGACAACGTCTAAGCTCCTACTCAGAAATTGCTTTAGGCTTTTTTCACTTCCCCAGGCCTTACTACTCACCTCCCCTATCCTCGCAGCCATCTCCGATTATATAATTGCGTTCTCACTTTCCAGCTTCCCTGTTGAATTTGAAGAGACCCAGGATTTGGACATTCCACCCACAAGTGTTTCATCAATGGACACATAACCCATGTCAGGCCAATTAGTACCAACAAGACCCAATTTAGGGATTCCCAGGGCTCTAGCAGGGAGGGGATGCCACTTTTGGATTAGGCATTGTGAGACAGAAGGTACCAGGGGTTTCAGTAAGGGTCTGGAAATGGAAGCCAACCCTGAGGAAGTATCTATCTCTAATGGCTCCCGATAAAACTGACACTCAGCAATAAGCCATGCATGTAGTTGGCTCTACCTCTAACATTTAAGCTTCTAGTGAATTACAAACAGCCTGTTGTGCATAAACCCATGTGGATCTTTTTCTTTATTTATTTTTGGTCACTTGCAATGAAAGGATCCTAAATGATATGGATCCTTTTCTGACACTCCCAACCCTATCAGGATGTGATTTCAAAATTTTCACCCTCACAGGACCCTACTTGGTCTACCTATGAAAGGAAGGACACAGGACATTTCCAATACCACGGCACATGTAAATGTGGACTCCCATGAAACACACAAGTGAAACAGGCATCCAACAGTTGTTTCTTTTTATCTGAAAAGCTGGAAAGAAAGTGGTACCATGCAGGAGGATGGTACGGAAATCAGGAGTTAACTCTTTTCCTATCCAAAAGCCAGAGAGATTTATTGCCAACAAAGGGGGCAAAGAGCGTGAAGGTCTCAAAAACCTGGAGAAAGAATAAATAATTAGGTTGGCTTCAGATAAACTAGTGGAATCCCCACACAAGGAACTGCATTCCCTCTCTATGAGAGCCAACCAGGAGAGTACCTGTACCTATGAGGATCAAGGCTTGGAAACATACAGAACTCAAATTAGGGTAGTCACCCCAGAAAACCCAGAATGAAATGTGACTATAGCTAAGTAACCCGCAGCCCAAGTATATACTGTGCTGCACCCAGCCTCCTGTTGGGCACATAGCAGTGTCCTTAAATGTGTGTTGAATAAATTAATGGATCTGTAGGAACACAAGCGTCCACACACAAGGAGGACATCTAAGAAATCTCAAATAGGCAGTCGTCATCCACGTGAAGTCCAGGGGATGGGGTATCTTACAAAGAGAGACATATAATTAGGAACATACATATAGATACGGTTAGAGACAATAGGGATAGAGACAGACATCCACCACTGGACTACAGACCTACTCACAGTGCGGGAACCCGACCTTGGACTCTCCTGCATTGAACAAGGTAAATTTCACCTACTGTGGCCTCTTGGCAGCCAGCCAGCTGGCTTTCATCTAGTGATAACCTCTGCATTTGTTATGAGCTAAGCTAGCCTTAGTACCGCAGCTACGTTAACCTATGTACCAAGTGGTGAAAAAGCTAACCATTGCATCAGGGAAGATGTTTAAAAGGCAGAAACCGTGCTAGCTAGTCAGTGCATGCGATTTCCTGCTGTGATTCCTCTTCCTACAATCTTACATTGGGAGCCCTTGAAGGACGATTAGGTGAGAATATTGCCCAGGCGAAAAGAGTTCTAGGCCCTTTGTGGCCTCCAAGAGAAGGTCCCGAGGGGCCTCTCCCACCTCCACTGGGCACACCACGTTCACGGAGACACTACTGCATCTCCTGTTCTAGATAAAAACACGTTCCAGATAAAAACAAACAAAAACAAGTTTTCCATTTGTAAACCTACTCAGTCAATGCCAGGCCTTGCTTTGCTGTTTTGTGTGGTTACACTTTCTTATCAAAGGAAAACACAGGGGCTCCATTGAGCTCTGTGTGTCAGTCATAACTACAGAAAGGGAGTTTGATCCCTCCTTCATTTGTTGTTTTTTTTTTGTTTTTTTTTTGTTTTTGGATAAAAAGGCCCACAAAAAAAGTTTGCTTGGAGAGAAAGGATATTATGTAAATAATTAGCCCATTCCAAGATTAGATAACACATATATATAGTGCAGTAGAGAGCCGAAGAAAAGGATGAGAATTTGCAGCAGAACGGGACAGTTTATGAATCTGAGAAACGGGAATTGTCTCTGGTGTCCTGCTTATCGAGAATGCATGAAGAATAGGTTGGAATGAGGCCCCAGCCCAGATCTGGATTTTCAACGTACGAAGAATCAGAAACCAGTAAAGAAGGCCTAAATGCTAACGCCATGCTGAGCTGAACAGAATCTCTTCATCCATTTATGAAGAAGAGGCTGTGTTATGAAGTTGTGTAGACGCCCGGGTTCACTGACATGTGCACTAATTCTTCTACATGGGACCAAGAGAGAGCTTATGAAAAACCTCTGATGAAATGTTTCTAGGATAATCAGGTAAGAGTCTGTTCAGACAGGCCCCCCCTGGGGGAACCTGGGCAGGCTGACTTGGTTGATGTTTTTTTTTTCCTCTCTGATTTATAGGCTCAGCCAGTGCTTTCTCACCCAAGGTTTGGTCTCCCTAACCTAAGGTTTGATGTCTGAGGCATCAAAAGGTAACAATGCTCAAGTCTATATCTGACCATTAACCCATGTCTCTATACCCCTAAGGTGCAAATGGGAATGTTCATGCAAATATCTTCATGTCGTTGTTTGTCCAGTGTTGTCCTCTGCTTTCAAAGAAGACAGTACTGATGCCGAAGGCTGATGAAGGCTGAAAATCGTGTCATCCAACAGTATTTTGAGGGCATCCAGAATTGCCATTAGATATACTGCACGAGGAGCCATAGATCTGGCCCTGCATCAATGAGCCAGCCGCCAATGAGAACAGCTGTCTGACACCTTCACCTAGTCCACGGCCTCCTCAACCTGCTGGGTTCCTAAATTGTTTCAGGTATCCCTCGTGTCTAATGTTGATTTCAGCCCTCAGACATGTGCTTGATACCCTCTTTCAAGAAGAGGCTTGTTGCGAGACACCTGGGTGTCTCAGCCCGTTAAGCATCTGACTCTTGATTTCAGCTCAGATCATGATCTCACAGTTCATGAGTTTGAGCCCTGCATTGGGGTTTTCTCTCTCTCCTCTGTCCTTCCCCTGCACTCGACCCTCTCTCTCTCTCTTTCTATCTCAAAAATAAACATTAACCAAAAGAAGAAGGGGCTTTTTGCTAGCCTTGAGTAAACTCACTTTTGCCTCTTGGGTTACTTCTGCTCTCTCTGCTCCAGGGAAAAACTTCACTTGATCCAGAAACAGAAACACAGAAAAATCAGAGGAGGAAGAAACATGGAAGACATTCTAACTCACATGGAGCTTCCGATGACCCAGGCACGCGACACAGACCGAGCTATAGCAGCAGCACATGGAAGAGCCCTGCCTGTGGTTCAGACTCTGCTTAGAGATGCCGTGCCCACCGCAAGTAGTGGGGTACATGTGGGGCAGAAAAGCATGGGGCCAGGAGAGAACAATGAGGTGGAAAAAATGTCTGCTCTTAGTTTGGGTCCAAGTTCAGAGGCTGATGCCCCATGCCCAGATGAAGTTCCAGTCCATGCTGCATTCCACGGGCCTAGTAGCCAAGGCAACACAGGGAAGAAAAACAGCCGGAAAAGGAGGAATAGAAAGGAAAATAAGGTTGTTTATCTCCCCTGGCCTCTGACGCTACAGACCCGGGCGTCTTCTGCAGCCCCCGTTCTGGGCCAGACTTGTGTCACAGGGGCTCTGCCAGTTGCTGATAGTGGAGTCAGCGCCATGTATGAAAACAGGGAGGAAGGGGAGAGTGATGACAAAGAGAAAGCATCCATTGTCACTCAGCCTGAAAAGTCAGTTGCTGGCACCCCGTTGCCAGGAGAATGTCCAGTTCAGGCCTCTCTTGAGGGGGCAGCCAATGAGGAGATAGCAAGAGAGCAGGAAGGCAACCCTAAAGGAAGAAATAAAAAGAACAGAAAGGTCATGGCCAGTCCTTGGCCTCTGACAGTACAGGCTTGGGTATCTTTCAGAGGCCCAGAGGTGCAGACGGCTACAGCAAGGGCTTCATCATTTACTGGGGATGGAGTCAATGTGGGGCCTAAAAGCAAGGGTCAGAAGGGTGAGGCAAATAAACCGTCAGCTGGTATTTTGTACCAGAGTACACAGGACAGTGCCCCATACTCAGCTGAGGGTCTGGGGCAGGCCTTGTGGGAGGGGGCCTTGCCCCCTGCTAGCTCAGAATATGGGGAGAAGAGAACCACATATAAAAGAAGGAATAGAAAGGAGAAAAGCATCTCGACCAGTCCTTGGCCTCTGACGGTACAAGCCTGGGCATCATTTGAAACAGCACACCAGGGGCAGACTTGCCCCCAGGGTAGGTTTTCTGCTGCAAGTATGGGGGTGGATGTGGGGCCAACGACCTGGCCCCAAATGGAGTATAGTGAGGAGGAAGCACAGGCCATTCTTCCTAGGCCTGAGAGGGTCCAGGCTGGTGCCCCCTTCTCAGCAACAGCCCCAGGACAGGCTTTACTTCAGGGGCATCCTTTGCAAGACGTACATTCCAAGGTGAGTCAAATCCAATGGAGACCCCAGGGGATAGAGGGAGAGCCAGTTCAGAGCAATCCAGAGCAAATTCTGGAACCCTGTCAGGAGTGGAGAGGAACCGAGAGACACTTGGGGGAACGGGACTTCTGGGAATGCACGGTGATGAATTTTGCTAGTCAGGTTGACCGTTGCTATTATGGGGAGCTCTGCTCACAACAGAGGATGGAGGCTGTGACCGTGACCAAAGCCCACACCCACATCAGCACTTCAGTGATGGGACCAGAGACGGACAGGGCTGAATCTCAGGCAGTCTGGATGGGGAAATGGGGAGGTTTCTGAGGTGCAGAGGAGAAAAAGAAAGAGACCTAAAGAGTATTTTGGGTTCTAGAAGTGCCACCGTCTATATCTGTTGGGAGGGAGGTGTTTAAATGCTACTCTGAATAGGGGGCGCCTGGGTGGCTCAGTCTGTTAAGCATCCAATTCTTGATTTCAGTTCAAGTCCTGATCTCTCAGTTCATGGGAAGGCCCCGAGTAGGGCTTTGCTTGGCATTCCCTCTCTCTCTGCCCCTCCTTTGCTAGCTTGCACTCCCCCTCTCTCTCATAAATGAATGAGTGAATAAATAAATAAATAAATATTTAAATGCTACTTTGAGGAAAGGAAGGCTCACTACCCACTTGGCAAATTTCCCTGTTACATGGTAACATTGCAAGTATTCTCTGCATGGGCGATTTCTCTCTGAAATTAAGTTTTGGGTTTATGGAGAATTGATGCATACACGTAATAATGAAGAAAAGCAAAGATGTTTTTTTCTGGATCTTCTTTCCCCTAACATTTTTAGCGTTGTTGGGAAAGGTGTGTTATGTATGGCTGATAAGCAGTATTAGAGTTTTAGAGTGTAAACCAGTGACAGAATGTGCATTGGATCCTGAGCATACCTCTCTGGACTGGGAAGTGTTATTTTATATTGCATATTAGACTGTAAATCGGCGTGATGATTGCATTTAGCTCTAAGACTGGCCAGTTTACAGTTGTTAACAGCACAGGCTCTAGAGCCACAGTGCCTGAGATCAAAGCCCAGCTTTGCCACTCACTACCTATGTTCCTCTGCGTAAGTTACTCTTCTCTTCTGGGCCCCAGTCTATCACCTGGGGGTAATAATAACACCTGCCTCATATATTGTGTGATTAAATGAGTTAATCCATGTGACGCACCTAGACTAGTACGTGGCATGTAATAAGCCCTCAGACACTATCACCTATCATTGCTTTAACTTTTAGCACTAAATGTTATGGAAGGGTCTGGCACTGTGGTACTATGCACGTTGAAAGTTCTACAAATGGCAGTGCATATGTGAGGCAGAAGATGATGCCTCCATTTACAATTATGGTAACAAAGATTGTTCAAACTAAGGGGAAAGATGCTACGTAAGGGGGAAAAGCAGGCAATAAAATGGTAGCTATTGTTCTGAGGTGCAGTATCGCAACCATGTCAGGACAATGCAGCACAATGAAGGCTGGGGGAGAATATGCTCCTGTGTCAATATCCCCTACTGCTGGATGGTGGGATCCTGCACAGCTGATGTGTTCCTGCTTCCTAATTCTCTTGTGTAACGTCCAAATGTCTGCACCACCGTGGCATCAGCAAATAACCAACATTCGTTAAGGAGGGCAACAAGGACGAGGAGACTTCTCATCGGTGGACTTGTTGGAAGGCGTCATCCAATGGGGGAGGCGCTCAGGGGACGGGACCCTCCCCAGGGAGGACCCCCCCAGCCTGCAGCTGCCGAAAGAGAGGTCCAGGCACCTTTGGCTGGCGCTGAACAGGAAACACACAGCTCTGCCCACCGAGAAGGAAGGGAGGGACTTCCCTTGCCTGATTTTGCCCTGACTATGCTGTTGCTCTCACGTGCCATGTGTGTTGAAATCTTCCCTGGAAGCTCGGCTGGACAATGTGGCCGGACATATGCTGAGATTAAAAAGTAAACTTTTGTATCAGCCTTTCACATAGCCTGGCTTTGGGCGGGGGGCGCGATTTAGTTAAAAGATGTCCTGATGTGTCCCCTAGCAATGCTGAAGGGGTGGATATTCGTGGGGGGCTTTGAGGGGGCACTTGTGCCCCCTTTTATGTGTCCTGGATGCTCTAGCAGGGCCTCTGGGAACTTTTGGAGGAGTATCTTCATGAAGATGCAGGAGGGACTTTTCTGATATCCACTCATCCTCCTGCCCCAAGGGGTCCAGCTACACTCTGATCTCGCTTGAAGGGGACAGCTGTACCCCCAGTTGGCTACATACCTTGCTGTTGAACCATTAACCAGAGCATTAACCAGAACAGGAACTGGGTATATGTATCAGGTGGGGCCAAAATAGCCTCACTATCCCTCACTCTAACGTCAGGGAGGGGCTCCCTGATATGAATGAAGGTTAGAACATGGGAGATGAAAGAACACCAGTGGAGTGGGGCTCTGGGAGAACAGGAACAAAGGAGTCCATGATTCTTTTCTACCAGGTGAGTCCTCTCCTCTACTTCTCCCTCATTACTAAATTCAGGGCAGGAGAGCTAAGCAGGGAAAGGGGACAGGCAGGGGAAAGGGAATAAGGGAGAAGCTGGTTGCCCAGTTCTTGGGCTGGCCCAAGCTTAAAGCTAGAAAAGAGGGTAAAGGGGGTCTGAGTTACCTTCATTGTCCAACTCAGCTTACCAGGGTATGAGAGTAAAAATGGATGTAAGGTAGAAACACCTATAACTGTGAATAAAGATTGCATTTGCCTGACATATTTCCTGTGTCACGTTATTCTTGGTTAACTTCAAGTACGAGAGCAAGCAACCAACAAGAGTCTTGGCATGGTGTTGTGGAGAGAACCCAAGCATCTGAGAAGCACAGCTAGTCTTGTGGCTGTCCTTTATGCTACCATGACCATGGCTGGCACCTAATAGAAAGTAGCAGCCGGGAGAAAGAGGGGTGGCCTGTCCAGACCCCAGTGAACTGTTCTCCTGTTATAAAGGCAGTACGATGGAGTTGCTCACCATGGGATAAACCTTTTTTTTAAAAAAAAATATTTATATATCTTTGAGAGGAGGAGGGGCAGAAGGGGAGAGGGAGACACAGAATGTGAAGCAGGTTCCAGGCTCTGAGCGGTTAGCACAGAGCCTGATGCAGGGATTGAACCCACGGGCTGTGAGATCATGACCTTAGCCCAAGTCTGACACTCAACCAACTGAGCCACCCAGGTGCTCCATGGGCTAAGCCTTTTAAGCTGAGCTTTCTAGGCACAGCAACTTATTTCTGCCTGTTTCAAAACCAGATACTTCTGCCTGCCTTTCTTCCCTAAAAGGCTTTGGTTTTCCAGCCCTGTCTCCCGTGACTGTCTCCCATGGGCCCAACAGGAACCATCCTGTTGCTGCTCATGTAACAAAGCTGCTCATCTAAGTGCCCCCCAAATATTCTATGAACATCCCCACCTGCACATTTTTCTCAAATCACCCCCTATGCCTGGCCTGCCTTGTTCTCCTGGGACACCATTCTCACCCCATTTCTGACTGCACAGCCCCACCAGGCCTTCTCTCAGCCCAGTGATGCATTTTCCTGCTTCATCCAGGGCTTTATTTTTTCACCTAAACCAAAGCTGATTACTCTGTTGCTTCAGGGGCTCAGTGAAGTTTTGTTGTAGGAAGTATTCCTGCAGGATATATATTGTTCTAAAACTCATGCAGCCACTTGGGGGTCACTTCCTGTATATATGAAGTGGGCTGGGTTCCCAAGGAATTATACCTTAATCTCATAGCTAGGTAATGAAATTGCTGGATATCATTCATTTCCCATAAAATAAACCAGTTCCCAGGGGGTGGAGGTGGAGGAGCCCTGTAAAACACAATGACTCTTTCATGGGATTTGCCTTAGTTAACAGTCCTGAAGTACTCACAGTTTATACAGTCCTTAGCTCCCAAGAAGTTCACAGTGCTCCTTGATATCAAAACATGCTGTCCTGGGACCAGGCCTGGCTGGCTCAGTCAGTAGAGCATGTGACTCTTGACCTCGGGGTCGTGAGATTGAGCCCCA